TTTCTTTCATCATTAGTTAGGGTTTTTCCTCTTTGTTTAATGCTTGCATGGTTTAACTCATTCGATGCATGATTATTGGTTTTGTCGATACGGGAACGTACGGGGAAGTCTAGATCCGGGGAATTTCTCCCAATTTTATATTGGTTGTCGTTAAGCTCCTGTACTTATGAACTAATCATTAGGAATGCTAGGAATTGTATGAACTCGTGATTAGGGAGAAGCCTTCTGGAAAGGTACATTAGAGAGTGGCATTAACAATGGTGATTTGATCGTTGAATTCCTAAAATATATGAGAGTGGATAAGATGAAATTGAACCCCAACAACATATCCATACATAAATTTCATTGAAAGTGTTTATCTTTTGTTTTTTGCCATTGATCACAATTCATGCATACATGTTTATTTTTTGTCTTGCATTTTAAACCCCAATTAATTCGTTTGTAAGTCTTAGTTAATTAAGAAATCACATAACTAAACTAGGCCGTGAGTCCTTTGGGAAGAGATACTTGGTCTAACCAAGTTTATTACTTGAACGATTCGGTCATACTTGCCGATTGAAAGGTTCATGAAGATGTTTAAAAAACTGGAGATTACAATTCCTTTCTTTGAAGCATTGCAACAGATGCCATCCTATGCAAAATTTTTGAAGGAACTCCTTACAAAGAAAAGAAAATACATTGAGAAGGAGACCATTGAAGTGCAAGGTAGTTGTAGTGCAATCATACAACAATTGCCTCCTAAGTTTAAAGATCCAGGGAGCTTCACTATTCCATGCACCATAGGAGAGTTGGAAGTTGAAAGGGCACTGATTAATTTGGGAGCTAGCATCAATTTGATGTCGCTTTCTGTGTTCAAAAGAATTGAAGGTTTAGAACTTAAACCCACTAGAATGGCACTTCAATTGGCGGACAGATCTCTTAAATATCCGTATGGGGTAGTAGAAGATGTGCTGGTAAGGGTTGACAAATTTATTTTTGCAGTGGATTTTGTTATAATGGAGATGGAGGAAAATGAAGATGTGCCTCTCATTCTTGGGAGACCATTTATGAAGACTACCAGAGTTTTAATTGATGTGGAGAATGGTAATCTTAAATTGAGAGTTCAAGATGAAGAAGTGAATTTTGATGTATTCAAAGCCATGACACATCCGAAAGATGATAAAGCATGTTTTCAATTTGATGCACTTGATGAAGTTTGTATGGTGCAAGAAAGGATGGTACGTTATTCTTCTCCACTAGAGAAAACACTTATTGATGCTGGTGAAGACTTAAATGAAGAAGAAGAGAAATTGATAGATGAATGTATGATGGACTTGGAGACAATGAAGGAGATTTCAGTGGAAGATGCTAAGTTTGAGACGCTTGATACTAAAGAAGAAGTCAAAGCAAAGAAGTTAGAATTAAAAATGTTACCATCATACTTAAAATATGTTTTTTTAGAAGAAGATGGAACAAAGCTAGTCGTCATCAATAATTCTTTGCTTCCTGAAGAAGAATGAAAGTTGGTAGAAATATTGAAAGCCAACAAAGCAGCTATTGGGTGGTCAATCTCAGATCTTAAATGTATAAGTCAAACTTATTGCATGCACAGGATCTTTATGGAAGATGACTATAGGCCGGGTGCTCAATCACAGAGAAGACTAAATCCTGTCATGAAGGAGGTGGTTAGAAAAGAAGTATTGAAGCGTTTGAAAGCTGGCATTATTTATCCAATCTCTGACAGTGAATGGGTAAGTCCAGTGTAGGTAGTTCCAAAGAAAGGTGGGATGACAGTAATCTATATTGAGAAGAATGAGCTTATTCCTACTCGGACTGTTACTGGATGGCGAATGTGCATTGATTACAGGAAATTGAATAAAGCCACCAGGAAGGATCATTTTCCTCTTCCTTTCATGGACTAGATGCTGGAGAGATTGATAGGTCAAACTTTTTATTGTTTTCTGGATGGATACTCTATATACAACCAAATTGTGGTAGATCCAAAAGACTAAGAGAAGACGACCTTCACATGTCCTTTTAGTGTCTTTGCCTACAGAAAGATGTCATTTGGATTATTGATAACAGTTGAAAAACTGTTATTTTCATGCTTGAAATTGATAATAAAAGCAACCTTTAACACTTAGAAACTAGCTTGAAATCATGCTTTTATTCATATTTTCAGAAATAAGAGAGCTGGACAGGTTAATGCTTGATTTCAGTGTTTATGTGCAGGTTTTAAGGTGAATTTGGTGGAAGAAGTGAAGAAGGAGAGAGATGAAATCAGAAAAGACATCAAAAAGTGCAAAAGAAGAAGACGAAACTGCCGATAAACGGCAGTTTACCGATAAGCGGCACTCAAAAGCTAACAGGGGATCCGCTGAGGGGCAAAATGGCCGCTGAGGGGAAGAAACCAACTCACGCACTTACCGCTGAGCGACACACTTATGGGCTTGGGCCTAAATTTTCTGTAATTTTAGAATAGTATATAAGCTTTAGGACGTCCTAGGGTTTGTATCTTTGGCAGAAACGAAGGAAGCACTCTCTCTTCCACCCCTTTGAAGGAGGATCTTGGATGCTCAGGCTACCTCTTCACCTTTCTAGGGTTTTATCTTTCATTCTTTCATTATTATTCATCTAGTTTCACCATGAATATGGTGAACTAAACCTTGTATTGTTTTTGGGGAATCAATGTAGTCTTGTGAAACTCTCATATATGGAATTTGTTTTTACATCTTATATTTAAGACCTATGCTTTCTTTCATCATCAGTTAGGGTTTTTCCTCTTTGCTCAATGCTTGCTTTGTTTAACTCATTCAATGCATGATTATTGATTTTGTCGATACGGGAACGTACGGGGAAGTCTAGATCCGGGGAATTTCTCCCAATAGTATATTGGTTGCCGTTAAGCTCCTGCACTAAAAGAACTAATTATTAGGAATGCTAGGAATCGTATGAACTAGTAATTAGGGATAGGCCTTCTTGCAAGGTAATTTAGAGAGTGGCATTAACAATGATGAAAAGAATGTTGAATTCCTAAATTATATGAGAGTGGATAAGATGAAATTGATAACCCCAACAACATACTCATCCATACATTCCATTGAAGTGTTTGTATTTTGTTTTAGCCATTGATCACATTCATGCATACATGTTTATTTTCTGTTTTGCATATTAAACTTCAAATATTTCGTTATTAAGTCTTAAATAATAAACAAAACACAAAACTAAACTAGGCTGTGAGTCCTTTGGGAGAACGATACTTGGTCTTACCGAGTTTATTACTTGAAACGATTCGGTCACACTTGCCGATTGTTCAACAAGTTTGTGGCGCCGTTTTTTGGTGTTCATAAATTTGTCATCAATTATGTAATGCCCCACCTACATTTCAAAGGTGTATGCAGGCAATTTTTTTAGACCTCATAGAGAAATGCATTGAAGTCTTCATGGATGATTTCTCAATTTTGGAAATTCCTTCCAAAAATGCTTGGCGAATCTGGATATTGTCCTCAAAAGATGTGTTTAGCCGAATCTGGTACATAATTGGGAAAAATATCATTTCATGGTAACAGAAGGAATTGTGTTAGGGCATAAGATTTATGCTAAGGGAATTGAATTAGATAAAGCCAAAGTAGAGGTTATTGAGAAATTTCCTCCACCAACAAATGTGAAAGGAATCAGAAGTTTCTTAGGTCATGCAGGATTCTACAGAAGATTTATTAAAGACTTCTCAAAAATTGCAAAACCATTGAGTAATCTGGTTGTTAAAGATGTACCTTTTGTGATGAATGATGAATGTTTAAAAGCTTTTGGCATATTGAAAAGCAAATTGATTTCGGCTCCAGTGATTGTAGCTCCAGATATGAATAAGAATTTTGAACTAATGTGTGATGCTAGTGATTATGCAATAGGAGTCGTCCTTGGTCAAAGAAAAGAGAAGGTATTTCACACCATCTATTATGCTAGCAAAGTGTTGAATGATGCCCAGTTCAATTATGCTACTACTGAAAAGGAATTTCTAGCTATAGTTTATGCTTTGGAGAAATCTAGACCTTATCTCATTGGGTCTAAGGTGATTATCTACACAGATCATGCAGCCATAAAATATTTGTTGACAAAGCCAAATTCTAAGCCACGACTGATTAGATGGATATTGCTATTGCAAGAGTTTGATGTAGAGATCCGTGATAAAAAGGGTAGTGAGAATTTAATTGCTGATCATTTATCTCGGTTAGTTAATACTAAGGTTACTAGAAAGGAAGTAGAAATCTGGGAATCTTTTTCGGATGAAACACTCATGTATATTCAAAAGAGGTCGTGGTTTGCTGATATGGCCAATTTTAAAACTCCAAGAGTAATTCCAGAAGATCTTAATTAGCAACAAAGAAAGAAATTTTTGCATGATGCCTAGCAATTTATCTGGGATGACCCTTATTTGTTTAAAATTGGAGCAAATAATCTTTTGAGGCGATGTGTGACTGATAACAGTTGAAAAACTGTTATTTTCATGCTTAAAATTGATACTAAAAGCAACCTTTAACACTTAGAAACTAGCTTGAAATCATGTTTTTGGTCATATTTTTAGAAATAAGAGAGCTGGACATGTTTATGCTTGATTTCAGTGTTTTGATGCAGGTTTTAAGATGAATTTGGTGAAAGAAGTGAAGAAGGATAGAGATGGAATCAGAAAAGACATCAAAAAGTGCAAAAGGAGAAGCCGCAAGTACCGCTCAGCGGCAGTTTACCGCTGAGCGGCACTCAGAAACCTACATTGGCTCCGCTGAGGGGTGAAAAGGCCGTTGAGGGGAGAAAAACAACTCACGCACTTACCGCTGAGCGGTAGTTTAACGCTGAGCGACACTATTTTGGGCTTGGGCCTAATTTTCTGTAATTTTTGAATATTATATAAGCTTTAGGACGTCCTAGGGTTTGTATCTTTGGCTGAGACGAAGCAAACACTCTCTTTTCCACCCCTTGAAGGAAGATCTTGGATGCTCAGACTACCTCCTCATCTTTCTAGGGTT